CCCCCCCCCCCCCCGTACACTCATGTAACCATGGCATTAGCTCAGAGCCCCTTTCAGTCTTTACTGCAAGGTCTCTCTGAAAACAAAATGACAGAGAAAAAAAAGCAGCCCCGTGTGAGTGAAATTTCTTATACAGTTGGTCGTATCATGTTGGTGTGGATTTCCTACTTTGACTCCTATACCGCCACCACGTGCGGAAGGATCAGGAAACTACCTGGAAGGTAAGCGGGACTTAGCCACAGAGCCACATGGAATGTGAGCAGGGCTCCTCCAGCCACAGAACTCTCAGATACTTTGGATATTATTTCAGAGGGAAAAATACCTCATTTTGACCTTGCTGGTAACCAGCCACCATGACATGATGCTGGAAAAGGCATGGGAAGGGTGACATGATGCCTTGGTGGCATTTCCTTGGAGACCAGTCCCTCAGCAACCAAAGGTTCTTTTGAATCTGTGGTGTGTCGTGCGTTTGGGACTAGGATGAAATTTATGGGCTTCTAAAGTGACGATTGATTGATTGAATGTGTGTACATATCACTGTGAACCTGTGGCGGTCAGAGGACAACCTGTAGCATATCTGTCTTCTCCTACCACGTGGGGCCAGGCACCCAGCATGGGTTGATAGACTTGGTGGCAAGTGCCTTCCCTACAGACATCTGGTTAGTGTCCTTTCCGTCATTCTTTGCACACGTTGGAAGCCCCTCCCCACTTGCTTCCTGCGGTCCAGTCCACAAGGAGAGCTAGTCCAGCTGTGGAGCCCTTGCAGATGCTGCCTCCTGCTGGGAACCTCTCAGCCTTCTTAGCAGGGGGCTTCCTGGGGTGCCTGTGTCTCCTGAAGGGCCGGACAGGGTTGCTGGTTAGCAGCCCAGTGCACTGAGTTCAGGCTGCCTGCTGTAGATTCTCACCTGACCATTGGCTTCCTGGATTGTCCTGGCCCTAATGAGTCCTTAGAACCAAGCACAGAGTGCAGGAAATATCTCAGTGGGGGCCACCTATATAACTACTGAATGAGCAAATGAAGGAATTTAAGAATGAAGGTGAGGCAAGGCCCAGGGCTCAGTGGGCCCAAAATTTCCTGCCCCCCCCCCCCTTTAGCAGTCATCATCAGTAGTTACAGTGTCCATGTATTGGGTCCTGTGAAAACAAAAAGCATGGGTTTCTTTGTTAAAATATAAAGACATTAATTAATTAAAATTGGCTACACTAGAGAGTTAAAACCAAGGTGGGGCAGGCATCTCTATCTGTGCCCTGCCCAGCGCTGCACTCTGAGAGTCTGATGTCCAAATTGCTCCCAGTTGCCCTCTCAGAACTCTTCTGGGCTCCCGGCTCTCCTTCTGGTGAAGGTCAACCTTAGGACGCTCTTTCGCAGAAACCAGCTGCGCTTAGCTTCCTCTTGGCACCAGAGCCGGGGGCCTCGTGGACAGCGGCTGTGAAAGGCTTTGGAATGGACGCAATTGGACTCTGTGCGACCACTGGGGACCCTCGGTTACCCCGGGAAGCGAAGTAGCTCCGGAGGAGGACAGGGAGGGATGACCTTTCCTTGGGTTCTGGCTCCAGTCTCAACCAGCGTCGAGGTCCCCACGAAGACACCCAAAAGTGACAAACGAAGAGACCCTTCCCCCTAAGAGATCTCTTCTCTGTTTCCCACCCCGAGCCAGACACACTCCCAGGTTGAGGGCAGAGAGACAAAAAGCACTCAATAGATAGAGGCAGAACCAGGACACGCAGATGAGAAGGACCTATGCACACTTGGGTCTTGCGGGGCCACCTAGAATTCTGGGGGTCGGGTACACAACCCCCGGTGCAGCCACGCCCTCAGCAAATCCCTGATCTGGCTTCCTCGACTCCACGTGTCCCTTGGTATCCCACCCCTCCCCGCCAGCCCCGGAGCCGGCGGGCGGCACCTGTTGCGGTCCCGCGTTTCCGGGGCCCCGGGGTGGGGTAGGCAGGCTGGGCGCGGGGGTGGGGTGCGGGTGGCACAGGTAGGGTAGAGGAACAGTGGGGTTCAAGGCTTAGCCGCAGGGGCAACTGGCTTCAGGAACCGGAGTTAGCCATCAGGAGCTCGGGGAGGGAGGCTGACCAAGGGCCGAGAACACTGGGGGAGGGCAGGATCTGAGGGCACGGGCGAGCTCGGCTAGTGCCCAGAGGGCGTGGGGAAAGGACAGGAGCCAGGAGCAACGCGCGGGGCTGGAGCAGCCGCCTGGGGACCAGATTGGAAGATGCCTGGGGGCCCGGGCGCGCCCTCCTCTCCCGCAGCATCCGCAGGTTCCTTCCCTGCCGCGCCGTCGGGGATCGCGGCATGCCCATCGCCCCCGCAACCCCTGGCCGAGGGGTCTTCACGGGTCTCCGGTCCCCGGCGCGGCGCCAGCGTCCCACAGAAGCTGGCGGAGACTCTGAGCAGCCAATACGGGCTGAATGTGTTCGTGGCAGGGCTGCTGTTCCTGCTGGCCTGGGCGGTGCACGCGGCGGGTGTGGGCAAGAGCGACCTCCTGTGCGTGCTGACCGCGCTCATGCTGCTGCAGTTGCTCTGGATGCTGTGGTACGTGGGCCGCAGCTATGTGCAGCGCCGCCTCATCCGCCTCAAGGACACACACGCGGGTGCGCGCTGGCTCCGTGGTGAGTGCAGCCGGGCCGCCCTCCACGCCTCTCCTTGAGATTGAACTTCAACTCTATGCCTCATCTCTCCTGCTCTCCCCGTGGGTTTCCCTTCTCTACCTTTATTCTCTGCTCGAAGTTCTCCCTGCTTAAAGTGTGGAGGCTACACACTCCCTCTCTTGGCACTCAAGACTTCTAAGATCTAGCCTCTGTAGACCTCTTTCCTTTGGAGTCCTCATCCACAGCTGCAGGCTGTCAAAATTCTCAGTTCCAGTCAGTTTTGAAAGCCCCCAAGGTCTTTGCATTTTCTGTTCCTGCTCTTGGAATGTCATTCCAGCCTCACCTTGGTTTTGCTTTCCTGGCCTGGTCCAAGGCTGTCCTGAGCCTGAGGTATCCTATCACCCCATTCGGTGTTTCTGTCCACACCTCCACTCTTGCTGAGGTCTCGATATTTCTCGTCCAGGCAGCCACCTCTCCACAACATCAAGGGGAGCCTGTGCTCCTTGGTCCTAGAGTCACATAGCCTGGCTTGGAGGAGGTGCTGAGAGGATGAGGGGAGTCCTGAGGAATGATCCCAAGGGACACCCTGACTTACTCAAAGGGCCAAGGCCATGCAGGGCAAAGGGAGAGGGCTGGGATCCAGGGCAAAGGGAGCAGACCTGGTCCAGGGCAAAGGTGGCCTCCTCCAGCTGTTTTCTCATTTTAGACTGTAATTCCCCTTAGAGCCCACTTCTTGGTGTTTGCACACTTGACCTCAGGCAAATGCCTTGGTTCCCCTTGACTCCAATCCTAGGCTGAGCCTCTGCAGAGGGGGAATCTCAGTCTGGAAGGGACCAGATGATGGTGTGTGTGTGTGTGTCGCACAAATGACAAGCCTGGTGCTTTACTCCAGGATGTCGACGTTTTACCTCTTCTTTCCAGAAGCATCCTTTTTCCTCACTCATCTCCTCATCCTCCATTTTTTTCTTCAGCTCTTCTTCCACCTCTCCCCCTCCCTCCTGACTTTCTCCTCTTTTTTCTTCACTTTCTGTCCCTCTCCCTCCACCATCTTTTTTCTTCTCTCTCGTTTCCTTCCTCTAGTTCTCTTTCCTCCTGTTTCCCTTCCTCTTTCCTTCACTTTGTTTATCCCTCCCTCCATGCTTCTCTCCTTTCCTCTCTGACTGCTCCTGTTTCTTCCTAGGGTTGGGAAGGTGGAGGAAGAAGCAGGGCAAGAGTACAGACCAAGGCTCCCCTGTGGACAAGCCCCGTGTTGTTCAGACACCATGTGGAGATGGCATAGATTAGCTGATAGAGACCCGCACACAGTAAGCTGTACAGACCCTCAGGAAATGGTACCCAGGAGGAAGTGTGGGGAGAGAGTGGGAGGAGCAGAAAATCGGGAGCTAAGTTGGACAACAGAGGGCTCACGGTGTCCATATGCTCAAAGAGTCCAGAGGAAACCAGGACTCCAAGGAATACATAGTGGCTGGCCTAGGGGACCAGGTCCTCTGGGAGAGTCTGGTAACACAGAGAAAGGGGGAATGAGCATGAATTCTGTGGCAGCCCAGACCTGGGAGAACAGCACACAGTAGGATGTGTGGACCCTCTGGAAGTTGTCCCGTAGTGATGTAGCCGTTCCAGCGAGGCACATGTGCTGCTGGCCGTGGAAGACACATGGTTTCTATTCCTCTCTCCTGTCTCCTTCAGCTTTCTGAGCCTTACCTCTCCCCTCCCGTGAATTAGATAAGAATCACAGTTACCTCATGGGGAGGGGCAGGAAGATGTTGAGAGGAAGCAGCTTGCCATGATCTGGCCATTCCTGTGAACAATTGGGTTCATTTGGTAGCAAAAAGACAGTTGCCATACTAAGGTGCCAAGAGGAAGCGCCTGGCCCTGGTAGGGACTGAGGTTTCCTTTGGACTCTTAGCTGGAAAGACAGGTTTGTGGCAGAATCTCAGCCCTGTCTCTACAGGGGTGGTGGGGGTGGAGGGTAGGGACAACATGTAGGGGGTAATGGGGATAGTGATGGGTGGGGGACTGCTATATCCTGAGGCTGATGTTTGGCATGAAGTCCCCGCCCCCTGACCATCAAGTCCCATCCCTAGAATTCCAGGCACTGAGGTTTTCTATGGGAAGTTGTGGGGCTTGGTTTGGTCTGCAAGGAACCTCTTTGTACAGGAATTATTTCATTCTACTTCCTATGAAGGAGGAAATACTTTCTTAGCAATAAAAAAAATACTGACCCACTTAAGTAATTGGTAACAATGTTGCACCATGAATCTGTCTTCGCTGGCTAAGGGAGTTCCTCTAGAAGGGATACCTGTAGCCTAGGAACCTGTGCCTGCCTCCAGAGCAGCCAGTGAGCAGACTTCTTACCAATTAATCACCACTTTCCATGTTCCTTCATTGCTAGCCCGACCAAATGTGATGAAGCCGGGAAGCGTCCCCCTTGCTTTTTGCCTGTCTCAAGCCAGAGACACTTTGAACACAAATTCTGGAAATAGTGAAGGTTACAGTTGTACTTAACGAGTCTGTTTAGAATGCCAGACTCATTACAGTCAGGCATAGCTATTTTATGAATTTATTCTACAATTCAAATTCTTACAGTGGTGGCTTTTAAACGAGGCACATCTATACCTGTGTGTTCCCAGACCTCTGTCCAATACACTACCACAACCACCCCTGGAAATGGGCTACACGGGAACTGAGATCAGTGTTCCTAAGGAACCAGAGGAAAAGGGACAGATGTGAGCTGCCTATGAAAGACTGGTCCACGGGTGGTCATAGGACAGGCTGCAGAGGTGAAGGCAGAAAACACAATGGTTCCTGCTGGGAAGGAGGCTATCCACAGTGACACACTAAAGGTGTGTGTGTGTGTGTGTGTGTGTATGTGTGTGTGCATACAGGTGTGTGTTGGTGTCCTCAGGCAAGCTGGCCAAAGACTGAGGAGGGGAAGAGAAAAAGATAGTGGAGGGAGGAGAGAAGTGGCAGTTGGCCTGGGGGACAGGCTGTCCTTATTGTCTGTCCGCTGCCGACAGCAGACAAAGAAAGCTTGAGTCCATGCCCCCATCTCCACTTTGCATCTTAGGTTGGCGCTTCACCTTAATCCACAACCCTGCTTTCCCGCAGGCAGAGCTCCTCCAGACACTCTTGTTTGCTTGGGCTTCTTCTGTCCCTGTCTCTGGCCTAGCGAGCCCCTGTCACTGCCTGAGTGACATAGTTCCTCGGTTCTCCCATTAGAAGCAAACAAAGCCAATGACGATGGTGACTACAATGATTTCTTTTATTTTTTGAGTTTATAATTACCCCATCTCTCCCTTTTATTTCCTTACCCCGGATCCTCCCATCTACCCCTCCTTGCTCTCTTTCCAATTCAGCTCCTCTTTTTCACTACTGTTGACTTTCAGTGTGGACCCATGCTGCCAGCTCCACATCTGGGCAGCTCTTACCACTTTGCCTTCCTGTTCTTAACAGTTGTTGTGATGCGATACCCCCTCAAAACAACTTAAGGTAGGAAGAGTTTGTTTAGCTCAGAATCTCTGAGATTTTAATCCCCTGTGGCAGGGAAGCCAAACATCATGAGCTTGAAAGAACTGGTCACATCCACATTTAAAAGCAGACAGCAATGGGTTAATACCTGTGTGTGTGCTGCTGCTGCTCTGTGCTCCCCTTCAATCTGTCTCTCTTTCTCCCTCCCTCCCTCCCTCCCTCCCTCCCTCCCTCCTTCACTCCCATGGTCCAGCATATGAAACGGTTCTGTTCACGTTCAGGCCGAGTCTTCCACATTCAGTTAACTCAGGTCCCTTGCAGGCGTGCCTGCAGACAATCTGGACAATTCTGCGTCGGAACTCCCTCCTCGGGTCATTCTGGATTGCGTCAGGTGGGCCATCGCACACCTCAAACAGAGCTCCCCATGGACCAGTTCCCATTTTCTCTTAGTCCTCAGTCTGCTTTCTGCCTCTGTAGATTTGGCTGTTCGGGAAACTTCCCCGAGATGGATGTGTGCTCTTGTGGTGGCTTTCTTTCCTTAAGGGTGGAGTTTCCATGTCTTGAGGGTCTTGAGATGGTGCTGCCACTGCCTGGTGACGCTGACAGGGCTTCAGGAGGAGGCTAGGTTTCTGTCCCTGGACATAATCCCCTGGGGTGGGTGGTCCGACAGTATAAAGATACAGATGACAGACAGGCAACATCCTCCCTCCCCTTTTCTCTGTCTTTTGAGCAGGAGGATCTTGGACACCGCCTTGGATAGTGGGGAAGGAAGCCCTGCTCTGCTTGGACTTTTGCTGGGACAATGTCCCAAACTGACTTTTACTGAGAGCCTTCTCTGCCTGCCTGCCACTGCTGTCTCTGGCAATGTAGAGACACATTGCCTGGCATGGCCTCATTCGAAGTGGACAGAGGAGGGCCAGAAGAGGGGAGATAATGAAGGGTGTCAGGCAATGACAGATGGAAGCGTGGCTCCTGGGCAGGGCGTGGAGCTCCACTTGTCTGCCTCAGTTTCCTTATCTGTAAAATGGGGATAATGCTGTTTCTTGCTAGCTCCATCTTCCCCTCCTCTCCCTTCCCCTCCGCTCCTATCTTTCCCCTTTCTCTTCTCTTTCCCTTTTTCTTTTTCTAAACAGGGTCTCATGTGCATCCCAGGCTGGCCTCGATTTCCGCATGTACGGAGAATGACTGTGAACTCCGATGCCCTTGCCTCTGCCTTCCACAGGATTACAGGCAGGCACTCTAACACCTGCTTTATGCAGAGGTAGGATTAGCAGCGGCTCTCTGCATGCTAGGCGTGTATTCTGTCAACCAAGCTGCACCTCCAACCTGCATTCATTTTCTTACAGCCTAAAGCCTAGATGCAGGTTTAGCGTTCTTTGGAAAGAATTAAGACTGTAGGACAGTGTTCTCAGGGGGGAGAAGAAAGAATGCTGAGTCCAGAAGACAGCAGGGTGTGGCAGTCCCACAGCAGTAGATGCCATAGGCGTTTATCTGTGAGCTTTGCAGGATCCCTGGGCTTTTAATAAGCAAGTCTCTGCTGGAAAACATTTCCT